GATCCACAACTCTTTAGAGAAATGATAGAGCAGATGAATACTAGGCATGAGGAGTCTATAAGTCGACTTATAGAAAAGCTAGGAACTCCGAAAGAGAAGGCAGATACCCTAAAGCCTACCGAGGTCTATCTTTTCAAGCCTACAAGCCGCCAGGATAAGAAATCGGCGTGTATCTTTATAAAGCGTATTACTGATGCTCAGAAAATCTATCAAAATAACGCTTCCAAGCTTGCTATACTCTTATCTTGTTGCTTAGATAATAAAATAGCTTATATATAGTACTTAGCGCTTTCCGCAGATGAGAAGGAAGTCCTACTAGAATCTCCAGCCTAGTGGATTAAGGTTCTTAAGAGAGACTTCATAAGTACTGACGCTTAGCTACACTCTAGTGCGAATAGAGAAATGTTTTGCTAGAGCCAAAATTATTCGCTAGCAGAGTACATAGACGAAAAGGTTGGCAAGCTACGCATTGCTGATATGACCTCAGAAGCAGATATCATTATGAGAGTCTACGAAGGCTTCTAATATGCCCCAGAACTATAGCTTTCTATAGCGGCTTATAACCGCTTATTACTACAATAATTTCGTAATCTCCTTCGAGAGATCCAAGATAACTATTAATGCCTTTATAACGAAAAGGCTAAGGCCAAAGAACCTTGTAACAGCTCTCGCGCTTCTCCTTACTACTCTGTAGCCTCTAGATCTAATTAATATACAGAAATATTATATAACAAAGGCTATAAGAAGCAAAAGGGCAAGAAAGAGGCTAAACATTATTTTAATGCCTTCTCTAAGGCTAGAGAGGTTCCTTCTAGTACTGGTCTATTATATCCTTGCCGAAAATGCTTAGCTAAAGGTTTGAAAGCTAACTACTAAAATTTCGAATGCCCTCTTAAGGATAAGAAGAAGGCTTTTGCCGCTAAGGAGGAAGACGAATCCTCTAATGATGGGCCAGATAAGGACTACCGCCGCTAACAACGCGCCTATATAGCATGGCGAGATCAACTTAACAAGGACTCTAGTGAGGAGGATACCAGCACTGGTGAGGATGAGGTGGTAGCGAACTTTGGCGCTGCCTGTCGAGAATGTAAGGAAGCATTTCCATTAAATAACCAGCTATATAGCCATCTCAAAGCGTTTAACGCTCATGCCGTTAAAGAGATCCTCTCAGTTATCGATCTTACAGCTAAGCCAAAGGACAAGCAATTAGAAGGAATAGCTAACTGTACCGAGACCTGTGTCAGAGCGTATCTCAGCGCCAACAGCGACACCACGCAAGCCTTCACTACTGTTGTGGACTCCAGCTTTGGCCGTTCAGCAGTGAACCGTAAGCTACTTGATAGTGTGCCTCACACTATCAAGCGCATTAAGCATCTAGTTATTCGTGGCATTAGAGGAAGAAAGAAGGTCTCTAAGCTAGCGAAGTTCATCCTTTATCTCTGAAGCAACAAGGGAGTTTTCTTGAAACTCGAGATCGAAGCACTCATCTTTGACGACCTAGGCACTAGCCTGCTTGTTGGCACCGACTATATCAAAGCCTGGAATCTAGTTCTGGATATCCCTCGTTAATTGGCCACTTTCTATTAATTCAGCAAGGATAGAAAGCCTATTGCTATTGTTTGCCTTCAGATTACTCAAGAGCCTATAGCTAATTTCGTTGTTCGCGCAGGCAAAGACTGCACTATCCCTGCTAACTCTGTGGGCCAAGTTGCTCTCTGAATAAGTCACTCCGGCAAGGCAGACTTTTTATTCACATCCCAACATCCTGAGATACCAGATGGAGTCGTTTCGGCCACTCAGAATGCTGTTATGTTCTCTAATCAGGATTTTGAGCCTCGTCAAATTAAGCGTGACACCATACTTAGTACAGCAGAGTTAATTAGCATTGGAAACTTCGCGTACGCAGCGCAGGCAACTGAGGTGCTAAACGGCTTTCTAGGTCAAGAGTCACGAAACCGCGCAGGCAGTTTGAAGACCTCCGCACAGAAGGCGGAGGACACTAACGCGGAATGGCTAGAAGAAGCGTATCAGCCCTGCTATCGATACGAACTCCCTGAGGGTATCGTGGTCCCTGATCCTTCTACTTCTACCTATCAAGAGGTACACGTCAATGACAAGCTGCCTCTGGATCAACAAAAACAGCTCCGAAAGCTAGTAAAGCGCTTCGCAGTCATCTTCAACGACGGACCCGGCATGGCACGCCAGCCAGAAGAGGAGTGGCTACGTATCAAGGTGGCTCCTGAGCTGGAACGAAATCTCAAGCCTCGACCTCCCTATCGCAACGCTCCGTGTGCAAAGCAAGCAATTGACAATATATTTAACGAAAATATCCAGCTTGGTCGGATGGCGCCAGCGAAGCATTCTCCTTACTCCCTACCAGTATTCGTGGTCTACAAGTATACCCCAGAAGGAGCTGTCAAAAAGGCGAGGCCTGTAGTGGATCTACGACCTCTGAATAACGTTGCAGAGTTAGATGCGTATCCCTTGCCTCTTCAGGAGGATATCCTTGCCGCTATAGCCCTGGCTACCTACATCTCTTCTATCAATTTCGTATCTAGCTTCTACCAGCATTTTACGCATCCTGATAATTAATACTGAACAGCAACAGTATCACATCAAGGCCTAGAGCTATTCCGCGTAGCTCCTATAGGCTTCAAAAACTCTCCTGCCTATAACCAACGCACTTTCGAACGCCTACTTGTTAGATTGCTGTGGAAGATCATTAACGTCTATGTTGATGACGTCAATATCTTTATAAGAGGACCTTTCAGCCAGCATCTACACGACTTAGATGCTGTATTTTAATATTTCGCTGACGCTGGCTATACTTTCAAAGCCACAAAGACCTATCTCGGCTTTCAAGAGCTAGTAGCGCTTGGAAAACTCGTTGGCAGACTTGGTTACTTAATAGCAGGAGAGAAGCTCGCAGCTATAGCCAAGTGGGATATCCCTAAGAATAGCTATAATCTTGAACGCTTCATTAGCTTCGTTGGCTAGTATCGCCAGCAAGTCTTCTATTTCGCGTAACGCGCTGAGACGTTACAACAGCTCAAAACAACCATCTTTCGAGGCCCTAAAAGAGAGAAGGGATCTCCACTAGAGAAGCCGCAGGAGAGAAAAGGCCGCGGAGCGAAGGAATTCAGAGAGCTTTGGAAGCGCAAGCATACAACTGCGTTTCAGGACCTCACGAGCGCATTTTCTGAAGCCGCAGATATCCTACGCCATTTCGATCCTGCAAAGGTCCTAAACGTATTTCTTGATGCGTCAAAAGAGCTTGATTTTGGCGTTACTGTATACCAACTCGAAGACGCAGAAGCCGAAGACCCCCTTAAGCCCTTAAAGACGATGCTGAGGCCTATCATCTTTCTCTTGAAGTGCTTGACGCCTGCTGAACGCAACTACTGGCCGACAGATCTGGAGCTGTCTGGACTTGTATAGGCAGTTAAGCATCTACGAATCTACATTGAGCAAACGAAGACCGTCATCTACACTGACCATCGAGCGAATCCAGTGATCCTAGCAGCAAGATTACTGCGTACGCAATCTCCTCTCAAGATGAATACTCGCCAACAAGGATGGGCCGTGTTTCTGAGTCAGTATTAGGATAACCTGATCGTTATCTATAAGGAAGATCGAGATATAGTTGTTCCGGACGCCCTATCTAAGCTTTCGGTTACGCTTCATAGCTAGCACCAACCTGAGAAGGAGAAGCAAGCTTTTCTCGGCATAGTTCTACTCGGATTAGATGACGCAGAGCTTACTCGGCTTTGTGCAGAAGTCAAGGAGGAGTTCGGCGAGCTATTTGAGCAGCTCTAGGCTATGCCCCTACCAGCTCCCAACCTCCAGCAACTGCCTGATAGGCCCTATGCCCTCCTTCATCAACAGAGTGGCTCTGACCTAGTCTGAATCAACGCACAGCAAGCTAAGCCACGCTTTGTCATCCCTTGAAGCTTCAGAAAAGCTATGCTTGAGGCTGCGCATGATGATCAGCTCCACGGCGGCTATACAAGGCTGCGCGAAGCGCTTGCAGGTCTGTAGTAGCCTAAGATGAGCAAGGAGATTCTTGATTACGTACATCACTGCGCAGGCTGCGGAATGAATAAGCCACGCCGCGTAGGCTTTATGCCGTCACTAAAGCCACTTCTAGTGCCTCTGCGACCCTTCTACTCTCTGACAATGGATTTCATCACTGATTTGCCCCCCGAGGATGGCCACGATATGATACTCGTTGTTGTAGATCGATTCTCGAAACGCGTTGCTTTTGAAACAGGGAAGAAGGCGCAGTCGGCTGAGGATTAGGCCAAATGCCTCTGGGATAACGTTTTCTGCAGAAGAGGCTATGGCTTACCTAACACTATCACTACTGATCGAGACGCTTGATTTACTGCCGCGCTATAGAAGAGAGTATTCGAACTGGCAGGCACTCGGCTAATCTATACTACAGCGTATCATCCTTCAGCAGATGGCCAATCAGAACGAGTCAATCAAGAGCTAGAAATAGCACTGCGCTTTTATGTTGATGCTATGCAGGGCAATTGGAAGAAGTTCCTATCCACTATCGAGTTCTACTTCAATAGCAACTACTCTTCTGTCGTTACTCAGACCCTATTTCAAGTCATCTACGGCTTTACTCCTAGCACTCAGCTAACGCTACTAATGCCAGAAGCGCTAGAGCAGCTAGTGCAAGAACGAGAAGCTGCTAGAGATATAGCTGCAGAAGGGCTTCAGATTGCTGCAGAAGTAATGATGAATAGAGCAATCCAAGATCGATCATTCGACTCCGGATGGGCTAGGCTGCGTCTTTCGCCAAAGAGTTACTCGCTGCCTTCTACACGCAAGTTCGCACTCTCTCCACGCTACACTAGAGCCTTTCGAATCCTTGAGGCTGTCGGCAAGGGCAATGCGCTACGAATGGACCTGCCTGCGGCCTGGAGACTCCACCAAGTGATCAGCAAGATCCATCTCGACCCTGCTCCGAGCCCTGACGATGATCCCTATCAACAAAACCTTCCCCCTCCGTCAGATCACATTGACGAACAAGGAATGGAACAGTTGGCAAGCTCATTAATGGCAAGGCAATATTATACAAAGTCAGATGGGAAGGATATGACAAGGAAGATGATACTTAGGAGGACTCAGCAGCTTTAGAACACGCTCAGGAGGTAGTTGGAGCATACGAAGAGGCCCTAGAGCGCTCTAGGCTACGAGGGCGTCGACAAGCTGACGGCGCGACTCTCTACGGAGAGCCGCAAGGTCGACCACAGCGCTAGGCCCAAAGGGGAAGGAGTGTCGGCACTGGCGAATGCTGTTTCTGCGTTGTTTCTGTGCGTTTCTCTGCACAACTGTTTTTTTTCTATGACCACGAGGCCGTGGCCTTTTTCTGCTGCCGGCAACTGTTACAGCATAAGCTGCGCTATGGCCCAAAGGGGCCTTAGGGCTGAGGGCTAGGGCAGGCTTGGCGCCCTGCGCGTCATATCTCTATCCTCGCCTCGATAGCACTTAGATAGTCATCCATCACCATACCATTCGACATCAGTCATACAGTTGCCCTCCATAGCTTCTTCGTGACTCTCCGCTATCTCTATAGCACCCCCATACCCTGTTGCACGGCCTTCCGCGTAACACAAATCCTATTAGTTTAGTTAAGGTTTAATTGTAAGCGTGTCTTGGCTAAGGCGTCTTTGGCCTAGAGTACAAAGTTATCGCTTAGCAGCTTTTTAACTGCGACTATATTAGGGGCGTTGATAGGGTCGTTTCCTTTTATCTATAGCCTTTTCATGATTTGTCTAGAGGAAAAGGGTTTAAGTAAGTAGGCATCTTCTGGGGAGACCTTGACTAGGATTTGGTTGTCAGTGTAAGAAGGTTCTGATTGGGCGGGCACATAAGGGACGACAGCGCCTACAAGACCGGTACGGGTTGCCTGTGTATAGCTCGCAGGACTAGGGGTAACTTTCTGATTAATGCCTAAGATGAGGGCTTTAATTTTCTCTAGTCTAGTCTTGACTAGGGATGGATCATGTAGGGCTATATAAAGGTACGCGCAAACAGCTAAGAGAAAAGGGGTAAAGAGAGAGAGTAATAAATTATCAGGTGGCAGAAAAAGGAGGAAGAGCAAAGATTCGAGTTTTTTGATTATGCTAAGAAGGCTAGCTCTTTGCGTTCTGTTATTAGAGGAAAGGCTATAGGATTTAGGAAGATTACTTATTATTAGAGGGTAGGCGATTCGCTTATAAAGAGAGCGTAATTTAGATAAGTAGCCGCGTGGAGGAAGAGTCTTCGCAGGCCATTCTAACTTATTAAAAGACTAAATATTATACTTAATTATTTTATTTTAAGCTTCTTTTAAAGACTCAATATACTTACTTAAAGAAATAGTCTCTGCTACTTTTTACTAGATCTAAGTATTAGTAGCTAATAATATCGCCTTTAACTTTTTCTTTTTTATATTAAGATAATTAAAATCGCTCTTTAAGAAATTACTATTATATTAATAACCTAAACAGATGTACTCTAAGTACTTAGGAGAACAACTTGAAAAAATGCAAAGTGCCCTAAAGGATTTGTAAGTGGAACATAGCATGTCTGCTGCTACTCTAAGGGCCTTAACACAAGCAATCAAAGCTTTGCAGTCACAAGTAAAAGAAGATTTGCTCACCTTATATATAGGTATACTGATAAGAAAGGACGATAGAGGAATGCCTTTACTGAAGTTCTTGACTCTAGGTTTAGTCTTCAGGACAAAGACTAACTAGAGGGGGGATAGTGTTACAGCGCCTCCTAATCAGGGAAGGTTGCCTGAGCCACACAGCCCAGAGCTAGGCACTAGGCTTGGACACTAAGACAAGACTACCTGGATGGTTGCTCATAGACAGCCAAGACTAAGCATACTTAAGGTTGCTCACCTCTGCTCACTACTGAGCACCACTGAGTACGTGCAGGTTGCTTACCTCTACTTACTACTGAGCAGGACTAAGTATACAAGTCTCTTATCTATATAAGCGCGGAATGCCTTCGGAGCGGTCCATTCGCGGCGGTCCATTCAGTAAGCGGTCCATTCAGCGTTTAGGTCTTGGCGGGTTTTACGTCATATAAATTGCTAGCGAATCCACCCATCTTGACCACTTAAATAATATGAAGATTCTACATAGCAATTAACACTAATTTTGATGCTCTTTTTATCTCCCTATTAGGAAATGAATATAGAAAACGTGATATAGCAGAAATAACTATTCTCCTGCCTCTCTGGCCCCTCTGCCCCTGCCTATGCCCCTACCCCTGCCCCTGCCCTACCCTATACCCCGTTTCGGCGCCTTTTCAGCTTCTAATGCCTTCATTATAGGGGCTCTCTTACGGCCAGCTCTTGATTACGTCATAGCCGCTGGCGCTGTTGAGGGAGAGGGTATAAAAGCCTCATCTATAGCTTCTTCTTCTTCCTCTTTTTCTTCTTCTTTGTTAAGAACTAGGCAGGACTGATATACCGTCCTGCCGGTAGTGATAGTGATTACAGCGGCAATAATAGCAGCAGATCCACAAGGGGGGGTATTAAGGACTCTCTCTATATAAGGAGGAGCAGAAGGAGGAGGCAGCAGCAGCGTTACAAGGCCTATATTAGCCTCCTAGTGTCCCTCTTAAGTACTAATCTGTTCTCTATTATTAGTGTTACGCTTTGCTGCCTTAGCCCTTGTTATAAGCCGTTTATTAACCTTATTATGACTCTTAAACTGTTTATTCCATCCTAGCCTCTTAATAATATCTGGCATTTAAGTATTAAGATTATTCCCCTTAAGCTTTTAAGCAAATTTAACTAGACCTTATTAAGCATTTGTAGCTGCTTAATTATATCATGTACAAGCATAGTCTGTAAGGTCCTCTCTAGCCTCTAAAACTTGCAAACCAAGCCCTGTAATCTAGTTCCTATTAGGAGAGATATAAGGGTGCTATAAATAAGAGGCAAAGCGTTATAAAAGGGATATTAGTAAAGCGAAAGTATAATATATTAGTACTTATCCGGCGATACAAATAAGCTCACTATTAATCTACTAACAAGGGTATATTAGAGATTAAGGGATAGAGGCACCATCTTCAAACAGCTATACAAGATAGTACTTATAAGGAAGGCTAAATTGAACAAGTAACTCGTATTTAGAACAAGAGGGATTAGGGTGTAGAACCCCCTTATTTATCTTGTCTTTTGTGGCCTTTTATTCAGAAGATATCTTCGAAATAGTGAAAAACGATATAATATTTACTAGTAGTATAAATGCTTATAAGTCGAGTATATAAGGTAACTTACTACTGTTTTGAGCCTCCTCTTAAGATAGCTGTCTTAGTTTTGACTCTATAGTAACTCCTAGTTAACAAGTAACCTTTTCTATACTTAATTACTTATTTAGAATATCTTTGGTACTAGAGTAAAGACTCTTAGAGCATTAATTTAAATAAGCGTCTAAATTTGGATGCTTTTAAATATAAATTTATAGAAATTACGATTTCTTAAGACTCTAATATTTATTAAGATATTATATCTTATCTAGCCTTAATTTTAAATAAATTACTATATAATTAATCTCTAATTTAAGAAGAATATTATTTTTAACAAAGGTCTATAGTAGTAACTTTATCTCCTTCTGAATCTCTTTTAGATAGCCTTTATTAGCAAGCCTTTTTTTAACGTTCTAAATAACGTGCTAATTACAGAATTAAAGAATTATATCCGGAAGAGATATAGGTATAGAAGCCTATAAGCCTATAGCTTAGTCACTAATAATAATATATAGTATTAAAATAAGAGGATAAAAAACATGCTTTTTAAGGCTCTTAAAAATAAAATTAAAGGACAACTTTACTTTTAAATAAGTAAATAACAAAGAGCTTATAAATATAAAGTTACTACTAATAATACTAGTAGTAATAATAAGTATAAGATTAAAGATATTTATTTAAAAAGTACTATTAATAAAGAGGGCGAAATCTACTATAAATTATTAAATATAATAAATTTGTAAAGAATAAGCAAACTAAATCTGTTATAATTATTTATTAGTAGCTATACTAGTTTCTAAGTTAAATTCCTCCTTTATTTAATATTTAAAGATGAATTCTGCCTCCTTTAGAGCAATAACAAGCCTAGCGAACTCTTTTTATTAAGCAGAAGCAGTATAAGATCAGATATTATAGTAAGTTTTGCGATTAAGAGGAAATCTAACTTGTTTAAGCATTCTAAAAGCAACAGAGTATAAGATATTAGCTATTTAAAGCGACTTATCTAGCTTTATTATAAATAAATACCTTAGTAACGTCTTAATATGCTTATAAAGATATCTTAGTAGATTTATAACTATTAAATAAGTATAAGTATCCTAACAAATACTTAAAATAAAGCTAAATACCTTAGAATCATGCTTACTAACTTGCTTATAAGTAAGGCAGATACAGTAAGGGCAGTTACAAATATTAATATTAGTAGCCTCTTGCTTTTAATAGTTAGTTATCCTATCTTCCTTATCCCTCTTAATATATTTCTTAAGCTAATAAGTATCAAGAGTGCTAACTTTATAATATATATAGCAAAATTCGAATCACAGGCAAGCTGCCTTTATACTATTACTCTTTCAGATAATAGCAAACCCTTGCGATAAGGCCCAGCCCTATAAAGGCTCTTAACAAATATCCGGATCATCAAAGAGCTCCCTAGAGATAAGGGCTGTTAAGAAGGAGGGAGGGAAGGACTATACACACGCCTTGAGCTCTGCTTTGATATACTCTAGGCAATTAGGATAAGTAGTCTACAGGGGGGTGGCTATAACAATAATAGTAATAATAATATAACACCAAGAATATCTATCTCAATACCTATTTAGGAAGCAAAACAAGTTCAAATTATAGATAACGATAGACTAGATCTGTTTAGGAGAATCTAGAAATACTATATACAAATTACTACTGCGTAGTTATGCCAAGACCCAAACGCCGAATAGACCGCTCGCCGAATAGACTGCCGTGAATAGACCGCTCTGAAGGCATTCCGATATAAGCGCACTTCTTTCATAGATAATCAGATAGTTCTTCTTACTCTGTAGTCAACTTATATTATTAGCTCATACCTAAGTTAAAGACATCTTAGTATTGTTTACTACACTTCCTATTTT